TCATCTTTTGTTTATTAGGCCCAGTTTTTAAGCTAACGCAGCTTCCCGGGAGTTCCCTTTTACAAAGAATCTACAAACTTTAGAGATTAGATCGTAAACTCTGAACGTTGGCCTCACCTCAGTCTCCGTGCTGGTGCGTCATCATCGTCGCTGCTCGGCTCGTTCAGCTGGAAGTGTTTGATTGTAGCACATTACTTTGTACCTGTGACTGAGCAGAGCACTTCCTGACGTTAGCACCTCATCCTCACTCCAGCTGAATGAAGAGACTAAAGCCCTGTTTCCACCAACCCTACTTGGCTCTCCTCTCCTCTCCTCTCCTCTCCTCTCCTCTCCTCTCCTCTCCTCTCCTCTCCTCTACTCTACTCTACTCTACTCTACTCTACTCTACTCTACTCTACTCTACTCTACTCTACTCTACTCTACTCTACTCTACTCTACTCTACTCTACTCTACTCTACTCTACTCTACTCTACTCTACTCCATTCCTTTTCTCTTCTCCACTCCTTTACTTCCCTCTACTCTACTTTTCTCTCAACTTCATTACTCTACTCTACTCTATACTCTATTTTACGCTCCTTTACTCTACTCTCCACTTATTTACTCCTCTACTCTACTCTATACCCAACTTTACACTACTCTCCTCTACTCTACTCTTCTACTGTCCACTCATTTACTCTACTTTACTCTACTCCACTCTACTCTACTCTACTCTACTCTTTTAGACCTGGTTTAAAACCAGGTTAAAGACGGTTCTGTTTGGCTGTGCATACAACTGAGGGATTTTATATTTTAACTTTTTTTTTATTTTTTTATTATTTTTAAAGTACTGTGATTATTTATGATTTTAATGCTTTCTTGTTTTGTTCAGCACTTTGAGTTGCCTTGTGTATGAATTGTGCTATACAAATAAACTTGCCTTGCCTTGCCTTGCCTTACTCTACTCTACTCCACTCCTCTGCCAATCCATGTCAGATAGAAGATTTTAGGACCAGCTCAGCCTGATTAAAACCAGACCCCAGCAGGTTCCAAAACATGTACATGGGAGGGGTGAAACAAGCCAGGTGGAAAGGTTACCAACTGGGGTAGAGCAGAGTACAGTAGAGTAGAGCAGAGTACAGTAGAGTAGCACAAGTGAGGCTGGTGGAAATGGGACGCTGACGATAGTCCAAGGAACATTGAGAATTTTCTTGCATCTTTTTAATTGTAGTTCCTATTTTTATGTTTCAGTAGTTTGACGTTGGGTTTGGTATGCTACAGAAACTACAAAATAAAAACATATATCCGTTGTAGGGACATTTTTAATGATGATGAAAACAAAGCACCAAAGCAGAGGGAGCAGCGTCTACTGCCAAAGCTCTCAATTTGATGGTCAATATTTGTTGGTCAAGAACTTTGAGTAATGACCGAACGGATGAGATTGTGGAGTGTCCACAGAGAGAAAGTCAGGGCATCTCTGCTCAGACTGCTGCCCCCTCAACTCAGCAACGGATAAAGCGGAAGAAAAAGAAAATAGATGGATGGATATGGAAACACCTGGAGGAAACCTACCCAGACAAGAGAACAAGCAAACTACAGTGAGAAAGAAAGTGTTCAGACCTGGATTCAAACCCTAACTCACAAAGTTTGTAAACAGCCTTTTGTAACAGCTAATTTAAAAATCAAAAAAATTGCAATCTTTCAAAGATTAAGTGACTGACATCCCCTTTAAACATGACATTTTTGCTTGAAGCTTGTAAATCAAACTCCGCAGTCGTCGATTACAACCTTAAACGCCCCAATTTACTTTTTTATTCCATATTTAAGTGGACACCAATCACCCATGCACCTGTTGTCGCACAGGCTCAATAATACAGAGTGAGACCTCCCAGCGAACAGTCACCCAAACAGCATCTTTGACACCAGACGCCTCTTTGTTTAAATATTCTTCTTTTCCCTTCACAAAAGTCCTCCTGATTGAAATTGCCGGGTCATTATGAGACGAGGAGCGGGCTGAGGTGATCCGTCTATTCACTTCCACATGAAAGCTAATTACATACGGGGGAGAGGGGGGGAGTGAAGGGGGAGAGAGAGCAGACAACACAGCATCATGGAGACCTAAGGGCGGGGTGAGACGGGTTTTAGAGAGGATTTGTGAAGGTAAATCTCATATTCCACTGTTTAGGGTTTACTCAAGCAAGATTTGGACTGGTTTGATCAGAAGATAAATAGATACCATAATTGCAAGTCTAGATAAATTGGCTCTTATTTTAAACAGTTTATACTCCTACGGTAGGTAAACAAAACAAGTAGACTCATTTGTAAGCAGTCCTTCGTAACAACAAACTATTTTGCTTTAATTTTTATCAAAAAACAAATGTGAGAAATATATTGAGACAGTTCTTGGGGTGTTTCTTGATTGCCACTTTTTATTGTACATAATATATCCGACAGTGGCTCAGTTGGAAGAGCATTGACCTTTGAGCCTGAAGGTCGTGGGTTCGAGCCCACCATAAGACCTACTTCACGACTCCCACTGATGACTGCTGTCGTTGTGTCCTTGGGCAAGACACTTAACCCTACTTTGCCTGAAGCCCCCGCTGAAAGATCAAGGCTCCTGTAGACTCACCACCTGCAGGCGGATCAGTGAGGGGCTGGTGCTCTGTGTACTGGGTGGCATCTCTGACTGCCACCACCCCGACCCAGAAATGGATTAAGGGGAAGAAAATGGATTGATGGAGTTCTAATAACAAAGGAGTCTGGTCCACATTCTGTAGCCTGAGTCCTGGCTCGTCTTTCCGTGGAATCAAATCGTCTCTCATTCTCAGCCTTTTCAAGGTTTCTCACTTGTTTCCTCACTATATATATATATATATTTTTTTTAGCTGATCCTTATCGATGCAGGAGGGTCTAAGAACCGTGCTGATCCGGGACCTGTATGGACAGTGGTCATCCTGCTCCCTATGGACCACTGGCTCTTATGTATTTGTTATTATGACCTGACCTGCTGTTGGAGAATTGGCAACTTTGGAGGACGTCTGAGCCGACTGCTGTTTTGATTTAGGGCTGTACAAATATAAATTGAATGGATTTGCATAAACATATGTGTTACAGTTACAAAGTTTGTAAAATACCTTTTTAAGTAGTAAGTAAGTAGTAGTAGTAGTAATCTTTATTTATATACCGCCTTTTCACTGCACATCAGAGTCTCAAAGCGGTTTACAATTGTGATTTTTTTTTGGGAGTGGGGGTGCCAGTACAGGAGGCACATGCCAGACCTATTGTACATATTTTTAGTGGTAGGGGAAACCGGAGCACCCGGAGGAAACCTACGCAGACACGGGGAGAACATGCAAACTCCACTCAGAAAGGCCCTGGTCCAACCGGGATTCGAACCCAGGACCTTCTTGCTGAGAGGCGAGAGTGCTATCCACTCAGCCACCGTGCCGCCCAATAAAGATAACTATCTTACTTTGTCTGTATTTGTAACAAGTAGTAGTAAAATAGTCTTAAGCAGCTCTTAACTTGAACCAGATCAGCCCTTTATTCTACTGACACTTTACTGCTCTGCTAAATGTCGATTGTGTGTACTTTTCAATTTAAATTCAACTTTATTTATAGAACACTTTAATGGCAACACAGGTGACCAAAGTGCTGAGAACACAATATAATATAAAAACATGAATATATGTATAACTACTTGCATATAGTATGTATTTGTATCACTTGTTTGCATCAAGAGGTCTAAAACAGGTCCAAACCCAATCTAAACCAGGTCTGAACCAAGTCTAAACCAGAACCAAAGCAATTCCCTAGTTTGTGACTTTCTCACAACGGCAATAGAAATGATTCCATTTCAGATTTTTCCAAACAAATACATATGTTTGAGACTGTGACATCCGTCAACACAAGAGTAACTTTGATCTATTTTCTCTCTCTCTCTTTGATGCCATTGTAACGCCACATCAATCCAGTTTCCCGACAATCCCCCAATCAAATCTACACCCTTCTTCAACCGCACAAGTATCCTTAAGTTTCTCTCTCAGCACCAGACACGTCCGCCTCCTGGACTCCTCCTCTACCTTCAAAGCCCCAGACGGACGCTCTTTACTCGCTCAAAACGCTCATAAAAAAGCTCTTTGAAGCACACTCTGAATTCCCTCGCCGTTACGAGACTAGAGGCGATCTTTCTTTATTGATCTGGGCGTTTTTCAGAATGTTCGAGGATCCATTATGTCCCCGGGAACAAAAGGCGCGGTGGCTGAAAAGACGTTACAAAGCCGGGGTTTAGAGGCTGCAGATGTGATGTCACTGGTCAGAGGTTCTGGAGAAGATGGATTTTGCGAGATGGGAGAAGAGTGAGCGTTTGTCAGTCGGTATCTTTACGCGATCGCCGATGGTTTGTCAGCTGCGGCCAATACGTAGTCTTTGAGGGATATTGGCAACTTTTAGCCACAAATTTAAAGTTTTCTTTTTGTTGTTTGAATTCCACCGGAAAAGTATGAAAACATGAATCCTGACTGTAGGCTTGCCCCTCCATATGTTCTCCATTCACATAGAAAGGTTCTCCAACCAACAAATGCTGATGTAAGGTAACCAGGTCTAAACCAGGTCTAAATTTGGTCCAAACCAAATGAGGTCTAATCCAGGTCCAAACCAGGTCTAAACCGGGTCCAAACTAGGTCTTAACCACGTCTAAACTAGGTCTAAATCCGGTCAAAACCAGGGCTAAACAGGGTCCAAACCAGGTCTAAACTGGGTCTAAATCAGGTCTAAACTGGGTCTAAATCAGGTCTAAACTGGTTCCAAACCGGGTCCAAACCAGGTCTAAACTGGGTCCAAACTTGGTCTAAACCAAATCTATTAACTGGGTCCAAACCAGGTCTAAACCAAGACTAAACCATGTCTAAACTAGGTCAAAACCAGGTCACAACCATGTCTAAACCCGGTATAATAAAACAGGTATTGGATTTAACTTGAGGTTATTTGCTCACAGTCTTTTCTGTTGTGTTTTTCTTTTTTAGTCCAGGCCACCGTCGCTGTCGTCTCCCCTGTCTGCGCCTTCATAAATATGGATGGCCTGTGCAGAGCTCTTGTGTCCACTTCCAGCTGACCGCTCTCAGACACCATGACCACTCCAGACCTCCTCCTATCAAAGCCCTCCGCCGCCACATCAAAGAAACCACGGCGCGTCCAGTCCGACCGGCGCAGGCTCCGTTTGAACCTCTGAATGAGACACAAGGAACGACATTTTTGCACGATTAAAGCCGGGGTACCTGTCTTTTTCTATCATCACTAATGCATGTACTGCAAAAAATGATAAAATATGGGGTGAAAATGCTTACTTTGAGTCTTAAAACAAGTTTCTACCAATGAGACAAGTGGTTTATTTTTATTTTAACACTGCACAAAATTCTAAAACTTATTAATGCTTGAATCAAAGGGTTTTTGAAGAACATGTTGCTTTTTTTTTCAAGTCCTTTCTTTTTAGGTCTGTTCCAGTGGCAAATGTTGTTTTACTCAAGGATGTGCTCAAATTTAGATTTTTGCAGTGTGTTGTTTAAATGATAAAAGAGAAACCCTAACCCTAACGTTAACCTTGAGAGCAGATTGCCCTCAAGGTTTCTCCCTTTTTGAGTGGTTCCTTGCCCATGCAGGAGGGTCTAAGTCCGGTCATGATCCAAGACATTTAAAACATTTCTGGACTGTGGTTTTTCCGCCTCCTCTGGACCAATGGCTCCAATGTGTCATTATTGTATTCCCTGTGTTTGAACTGTTTGATTCTCTGATCTGTTTTTGGCTAATCAACACTACACATAGTTGGCCACACATATTAAGCCAGATCCCGTCAGACCTCTGAAGCTCAGGAGGGCAGGGCCTGGTTAGAGCTGTTATGGGAGACCTCTGTCTTGCTGTCTATTTAGGCAAAACCCTAACCCACATTAGAATGAGTCTGGTGTGTGTGTGTGTGTGTGTGTGTGTGCGTGTGTGTGTGTGGGGTTAGTGGTGGTCAGAGGGGCTGATGGCACATACTGCTTCTGTTAGTGTGCCCCAGGGCATCTGTGGCGACAGTAGTAGTTTATGGAGTGAATAAATAGTTATTATACTATTACAATGTCATTATTAATTTTGTAGATTCTTCTGAGATGTTGTGATTCAGTGCTACACACATAAATGATGTGTATGAAGAAATGTTATATTTAGAGAGAGTGGTGCAATGAACAAGTTCCCTCCATGGACAATTAAGTAGAACTAAACTGATCATTTGTTAGGTTGAAAGTTATCGATGAAATTATTTCATTATTTGAATTGTCTTTTCTTTTTTTTTTTTTACTTTTGAATGCGCTGGAAACGGCAGCAATTCCTAGGTAGCTCTGAAAAAGTTGTTTTGTGCTTTACAATTGCTATTTTTCTTGCCTTTTTTCTACCTGTGTGACCTGTGTCTACAGTGTTCATATAGTTTAACACAGATCCAGACCAGAGCAGAGAGGATTCATGGACGGAACCAAGCAGATCAAGCGGAAAATTATATACATGTGTGTTTATATTATTTGCATGTGTGGGAATATACTTTATCTCATCTTATACTGTAAATGCAGTAGGCAATATGTCCAAAATGTCATGTAAACTACGGAATGTAACTATTGTAAATAATTATGAATGAAACATCTCTGCTCCAATGACTAAATCAATCAATAAAGGTTTCACAACAGCGAGAGGCTCACTTTGTTTCATTGACAACTGTTTCAAATACAACACAATCAAATACACAAACGCAGGTAAAATAATAAGACGGGTAAAAAACATGTACGGTTCTGTTTTTACATTTCTAAAACGATTCTTATACAAACCATTTGGGCCAAAAAGTTCAGTTTTTGTCCCATCTGATCAAAGCACCTTCTTCCACTTCTTCCAGAGTCATCCAGGGGCCCTTGGGTTACCTTTCTAACCGACCCAGCTTGGTCTTCTTTCTCTCCTAATTAGATCTGTTAGTTTTAATCATGCATTTGGAGAAAACAAAGAGGAAAAAGCTGATTTGAACATGCATAAGCTGGAGCCAAAGTCCTTCTCTGCAAACACACACACACACACACACAATTGTAAATTTAACTTCAAAACAATCACCAAAACTACTTCAGGGGAATTACTTTCTTTAGTTTGTCGGTATAGTGACATCACACTATTACAGGACGGAGATCTGAGCTTTTAGAAAGAGGAGGCGGAGTTATACGTTGCGTGGATGGATCTGAAACACAACTCTAGGTCTGTTTTTGAAGTTGTAACATGGTTGAAAGCTCAAAACAGTTGATTTCTATAAGAAGTCTCCTTTAAATCGACTTTTACAACAAAATCAAACAAAGTCCTCACACTGTTACAAGTGTAAATAGCTACATTACTTTTGTGGCACACACATGGACACACACATATACCCACACGCACACTTAAACACACACCTACGCACCTAAACACACACACACACCAAAATGCACTAAACCAGATTAGAATCCCCCTCCCCATTTATCCCGTATCTATATGAATCTTATGTAAATTTTGATTTGCATTATTTCTGTATAATGCTCGTCGTCACTTCCGTGCTTCAAGCTTCAAAATAAATAAACATTTCTTTACACATTTTTTTCTCTATATTTTTGTATAGAATTTTTTTTTCATACAAATTTGATGAAGATTCAGTGCTGAGTGCGACAGTGCTCTCCCCAAATGAACCACTAGATGTCAGTCTAAGACGCGATTTTGCAGAGTGGCACGCGGCACGCAGGACAAGACAAAAAAAACGAAACTGTATTTGAATTTATACAACAATAAAAAAACAATAAAAAAAACAATAAAAATACGTACACTTTTGCCTTTTACGTTTCTAAAAACTGTATTTTTTTTTGACGGATGGTGCAACATGGACATTCAAGGGACTTTAATTTTACGTTTAATTATGTGAGGATCCAGGATATTTAATTACATTTATGGACATCATTAACATTTATAGACATTGTTCATCTGCCTCTTATGGACCAATGGTGTATGATTCTCTTATCTGTGTTGGCAAATCAACAACTATAAAGTCCTTCAAGCTGTTGTGATTTAGGGCTATAAACAAATAAATAGATTTGAATTGAATTATATGTTTGTTGCCAAATTTTTATACCTGTGACACATTCAGATTAGGATATCCTTCGAGGAAATTTCAGTGTTGCATCACAAGTTACAGAACAATAGGGATGATGGGGGCGCACAAAACAAGAGAAGTCAAGTAAAATATTTATCTTAAGTTTGATAAAGAAAGTATTCAAAAAGTATAAACTCTTCTAGTATAAAAAAGTATTACAGATGCGATCCACCTGCTGGAGTTTAGTCTTCAGGACTTGTGTTGAGGAAACATGATTTGTGCGAGAGACAAACAATGTCGATATAATTTAAAAATCAGTTATTACATACCGTCCCTTTGAGTGAGACAATGCTATAACTATGATAAAGTTGTGCATGAACATTTACAATTCAATTAACTTTTGTATGGCCCTTAAAGGGACTTTGCAAAGTTGTCAATTCGTCAACAGCAGAATAGAGAATCAAACCGTTCAAACACAGGAAAAACAATAACCAACACATAGAAGGCAGTGGTTCAGAGGGAGTGGGACGACGACTGTCCGATAATTAATTATATTCCATTGTAATCTATTTGTGTTGTGTATACTGCATATTGTGTACATTTAAAAAAAAAAAACATCTCACACCGTAAAACCCAGATACTCAAATTAGTCAAAATAAATTATTAGTATAAAATTAAAACTAAAGTGTACTTAATTACACTTATTTAATTTAATAATGCATGTTTACAATTATATGTTTTGTTATTTTTATTATTATTTTAACTAAGCCTAAATTATATTCTTGTATTTATTGTACAACTGCTTTCTAAATTTAGAACAAATTATTATGTTTAGCAATCTGATAAAAATGTGCTTAAGTAGCAGTATAAAAGCACTGAAATATCTAATTCAAAAGTAAAAAGTATTTTCAGACTTTAACGTGGCATATTAAACCAGATCTAATCCCGGACCAAACCAGGACTAAATATAGATCAAAACAGGGCTTAACCAGTTCATCATTGGGTCACTTTGGGCCCAGCTAATGACGACCCTAAACTAAACTAATATTTACAATACTTAAACCCATTTGGTTCCATTCATACAATTTCATATTTTCTCTCTGACATGTTTAAATACACATAAAAATCTCATTAATCTCAGCAATAAAACCCGCTTTAATACAATTCTGGAGCAGCCGCATCTGCCGTCACACCGCGCCCACTTTTATTAGTTCCTAGATACGGTTTTATCGCGTCCGCAGCCGAATGAAGGCGTCCCTAAAACATCTGCGTTGGTCCCGCTCCTCGCAGCACCTTTGCACAACAGCTGCCGCAGCCGTGGTTTATGCAGAGTAACCTTTTGTAAAACGTCCATATGCTGCGCTGCCTCTGCTGTGTGGCCGTGCTAACCGCCTCACTGTCAACACATATGGGCCGCGCATCTGCACCTCCTCCAGCTCATCTTGATCCTCCTGATCCTCCAGCTCAGACATGTCCAAACTGAGGCCCAGGGGCCAATTGCGGCCCTTTGCGTCATTTTATACGGCCCCTTTTAAACACGCACCTAAACACGTCTAACTGGGTCTAAATCCATTCAAAACCAGGTCTAAACCGGGTCTAAATCCGGTCTAAACTGGGTCCAAACCAGGTCTAAACCGGGTCTAAATAAGGTCTAAACTGGGTCTAAATCCGGTCTAAACTGGGTCCAAACCATGTCTAAACTGGGTCCAAACCGGGTCTAAACCAGGTCTAAAATCCAGCCAGCTTCAGCTCCGCCAACATAGACCTGGTTGTGAGGTTAAATTTTTCTGGGAATCCGTTGACTTTGTGTGATTAAACTGACATTTATTATTGATTGTATGGTACTAATGTGAGTAGGTGAGTAGACCTTTGTCATTCAGCCAACTTCAGCTCTGTGAAAGATGAACCAACATAGACATTTCACACCTAATCTAAAAGCTCAGAACAGCCTTAATCCAGTTTGACCATCTCACTAAAAAGTTTGAACACCCCTGCTCTAGCTCCTCGTGATCCTCCCACTAAACTGCAAATGTAGACTCTAAAATGTACTCCAAAAAATAGTCAAATATTTAATTTAGTTTAATTTTAGTATATATTTATAAATCATGTATCTTGTGCTGTCTCCTCCCCCATTCCTACTGTT